CATTCTTGCATAGGAAAATATGTCATGACTTTTCCGACAACCCAATATTTTCTCTCTTTCCACATATGCTTAAGTAAGTATGTATTAACTTCTACAATAATAAACATGTTTAAGGTTCCGTCCAACTTTTTTGTTTAATTTTTACTTTATTATTAGTATTATTTTTTTATAATAATAAGCATTTGTTTAAGCTGGCTACTAAATGACTACTTGGCTATAAAGTATAAAACTTTTAAAAATAAAAGATATTGCCATGTACAAATCATGTAATAAAGAACCTATCCTAAGCATACTTAGAAAAATTCAGTATATTACAGATAAGATGTTAGTGTAGAGGTATTTTCAGAAATGACCAGTTGTTAAAGTTTAAGAAGTGAGAAAGGAGGTAACTTACCGATAACCTCAGAACACCAAAATTGGCAAAATCATAAATGAGTATCTGGTAGAAGAGTTCTTCACTGAAAAAAATAAAATGAGTTTAAAGAAAAGCTGAATCTGGGCCAGCTGGTGGTGTCATGGTTAGGTTGCTGGACTTTCACATGGCGGACCGCGGTTCGAGTCCCAGATCTGGTGGCTTGAAAATCATGCTGTATATGCCTGAAATCCCAGGTGAATAGAGAAGGGACTGCGGTGTGGCCAACCCCTCGGGGGTGATTTCTCACTTTCCCTCTCTGTCTCTGTCCAGTGAACACACACACCCTATGGCCAAAAAAAGAGAATTGGTAGGAAAAGGAACCCCTGAACGTGGATGGGACGAAGTGGTGATTCTGCCTGGCTGTGGATCTAGGCTACGGTCTAACAAGAATCTTATTCCTCCAAACACAAGCTCAAGCCTGCAAGATGATCAGGCTTGCCACTGCCTATGCTCTAGAAGGTTCTGACATCCGATTGTGAAACTTCAAAAGTCTTTTTTTGAGACCAGCAATTAGCATAATGGCTATGTCGTTGAACTCCCATGTGGTTGACTGCAGTTTGAGTCCCGGACCCAGTGGCTTAAACTCACGCTGGGCACAAATGTGTGTGTGCCCAAGATCCCGAGAGAATGGAGGAGAAGGGATTGCAGTGTGGCCATTTCCCCTGGGGAGTGATTTCTCACTTTCTGTCTGTCTCTCTCTGTCTTTCTGGCAAGCACACGCGCCCTATAGCAAAAACCTCTCCAAAAAATTCTTTTTTTTTTTTTAATTTGCTAGAGGGCATGTGTACTCACTGGAGATAAAACAGAGAGAAAACTTTGAGAGGTGAAAGTGACCTGACTGGTCTTGCTTAAAGACTCAATCCAAGCAGAACAAAACGCCTGCTAGGTCTGTGTGGAAACTGGAGGCACCCAATGAGCAACTGACTTGTTTCCTATCAGTCAGCAACGTGGCGAAGGAAGGAACTGAATCTAGAAATTGAATCCGAGCCTGGTTAGTTTTCTGTTTTTCTTTGTTTACCCTCTCTCTGCGAAACCATTCATATTTAGAGCCTGGGTGCAACTGCGATATGGAGCCTCGGAAGTCATGCACTTGGACATACTGAAACAGAAAACGCAGGTGGAGCAGAATTCCCCAAAATTAGTAAGTGACAGTCCACGGTACGAGCTCAAGGACTCTCAAAGCGAACCATGGAACTTAAACCGCTGCACCCCAAGGGGTCCCCAGCCTAGGAGGACTGAGTTCTGAATACCCAAGGAGGTATGTGTGCCAGCGCCAGGGGTCAGCTTCTCAACTGGCATCCCTCGGTTAGGGATGGCAAATAGGTTATCTCGCGCACCAGCTTCGAGCAATGTACGGTGGCTGCCCCACTCACTGGGCCAAAAAGCACACTGAGGCCAAGCAGAGCTCATCGGGGAAGAGTCCCACATGGGGTAAAAGCGAATGCAAGGTGGCAGCGTCCCCCATATGTACTACCTATTCAAGAACATACTTAATACAGGCTCTAGACTAGGTAGGAGCACATCCGCGGAGGGCTCTGGAAGGGATCCGCAGAAATGTTGCCAGCTATGCGCTAGGTAAAACGCACCGCTGGGGTCACGGTTCTGTACTGTACTGACAAGCCCACCAGCTCGTCTGGTGGCGTGAATAAGTCTTTGCTGCTTCCTCAAGCTAGGAGGAAAGGAGGCTTCGGATCTGGGTTGTGTCTCACAGTATCCTGTTGCATGTTGCAGGTACCAGAATTCTCTAACAGTGCCAAGCCTAAGTGTTGAACCTGGGTCACAGCCAACACGTATGGAGCACTGAGTGCCTCTCAAGGGCTAGGCATCTCAGGCTGTTTCTTTCCCTTTTTTTTTTTTTTGTTTTAGCCAGGGAGACAGAGAATGAGAAGGCAAGACGGTGAAAACACCACCTATATGGGGTATGGCCACACTGCAATTCATTCTCCTACCTATTGAGATCTTTGGTACACACACGTGTGGCTTGGTATGTATTTCAAGCCACTGGGACCAGGACTTGACCAGTGTAGTCGGCCATGTGGGATCCAGTTCCCGTACCACTAGGCCACCAGGTGCCCCTCAGGTTATTTCTTACCCTCAACCTTTACAAATTAAAGTAATAACGCCCCAATCTACAGATAAGAAATCTGAGACACAGTTTAGGAAAGTAAGTTGTCCATGGTTACTATAAACAGGAAGTGGTCAAACCTGATTTGAAACCACCTGTCTGATGCCAAAGCCTGTGTGCCTGTCCCCACTGTCCCCACCATCTCCCGCTGCCCCCTGGCCCACTCTTCAGTGGCTCTGCGTTTTCCTCTTACCTGAGTTTGGTGGTGTTGAGAAGGTACAGCTTGGTCTGATGCTGTGCCAAGGCCCACTGGGGGTTCACACAGCCCACAAAGGAGTGGTTATGCAGCATCTCCCGGAGAGCTGGAAAACGAGGAGTGGAGTGAGAGACAGGTAAGTAACGGACTCTGCCGCCACCTGACAGCTCGAAGCAACAAACGCCAGAACCAGAGATGCCCAACCGGCACAGGAGCCCACATAAAGCCTTCTGCTGAAAACACACACGAGCAGGAATAACACATAACAAATCTTGTTTTTCTTTTTTTTTGGAGAGGTTTTCCCTATAGGGCACATGTGCTCGCTAGAAAGACAGAGAGAGAGAGACAGAAAGTGAGAAACCATCCCCCAGGGGGCATGGTCACACCACAATCCCTTTTCCTCCGTTCTCCTCTCAGGATCTTGGGCACGCACGCACACGTGCCCGATGTGAGTTTAAGCCACCGGGTCCGGGACTTGAACTGAGGTCAACTACACGAGAGTCCAGCGACATAGCCATTACGCTAACTTCTAGTCCCCAGCAGATCTTTTAAAATGCGACAAAGAATCACTAAAAGATGAAAGAAGAATCAAGGATCAAAATCTAAGAGCGAGTAGGAACCCAGAGGAGTAGTGGGCGTTGTGAGCATACCACATGTGTATGTATATAAAGGGTCATTACAGAAATACTGTGCATAGATTACCAAAATAAAGTCATGCTTGAATTCCATTGTTTCACAAAATTATTGAGGTCCCCTCTCGTGTCCGTGCGTACTGTATATATTATGCGTATTCCGTCTTAATGAAAAGAGTCAAACTACCACCCCCGAAAGTAGGGGGAGCGTGTACCAGCAAACAAGGGCACGGCTCTGAGCATAGCCGTCGCCCCGTGCATCCGGTTGTATACCCTTTTTTCTAAAGTGTGGGCACCGCGAGTGAATTCTCGTACTGTTAGTTCTGTAACACCCCCCCACCCCCACCAGAGAGGCTTATTCTTCTCATTCTTAGAATCAGTGTCCCCCTCTGTTCCCACTGAACACTCAATGTCTTTCCGGGATGTTCTGCGTAGGCAGAAAATGATGATTTTCCAAGCTGGAGAACATCACAGCGTTTTGAATAATGAGGCCCTGGAGGAGACAGGAAGCAGCGACTCCACTCAAGAAGGGTCAGAGGCTTTTCCATATTTGAGCAGTCCACGCAGAGGCAGGGTTCTCGGGCTGCTCTGACGCACCTGCAGCCACTGTGCACAGCCTGCCGCAGGGCAGGGGAGGGCGGGCAGGGCAGGAGCAGCTCTGCTCAGCAAACACAGGCCGTCCAGAGCTGCTGTTTCACGCGCAGTAAGTGACAAAGACGACAGGCAGGGTTGCTCACCCTGACAGGCCATGGACCTGGTTTGTATACACATACCGGGTTGTCGCCAGTAACAACCCTCCATCAGCAGGCGTGTACTGGGATGTTCCACACAATCTGGCCTCTCCATCTTCCACGTCATCTACCTTGTCACTAACAGCAAACAGCATCTGCTCTGCTCTGCCTCCCTCATGGACTATTCTAGAGTTAAGTGACAGATCATGCATGAATACACAACTTTATACCAGTTATGTTCGTCACCTCACCCTCAGTAAGACTTGAGACCTAACCCAACTTGATGCAAGTGGCTTTTACGCCACGTTGCAAACAGTTTGACACATCAGGAAGTGACTAAAACTGTAACTTGAAATAAGTAATGTGCTTGGCATGAGTGAGACGAGTCCTAGAGAAAACTCAGAAAATTCCAAATCGGAGAGTCTGACTGGACGACAGCTAAATAAATCAGGCAATGGCCGACTTCTCTGATAGAACTGAGAAAGCTTTAGAAGCTCCCAGCTAATGGTGGAGGGGAAGAGCAAGTGGAGCGAGTCGTCGTGGAAATCAGTCGGAGGCCAGTGGGCAGCCACATCTACGGCTGGCAGCCCCGGGCGCCGGAAGTCCTGACTGCCCAAATGTAGAGACGCCCCATCTGATCTTTTCCCACATGGAAGCAAAGGCCTGGTGCGCTTAGAAAAGAGAACGTGTGAGGAAGAGCAGACCAAGGCCTCAGCCTGAATTAGCTCAGGAAGTGGCAACTGAGATGAGGGAAAAACTGAAGAGGCCGCTGAGTCAGACGCAGCTGCTTTAACAGGCTGAGGCTTTCCACTGGCACGGTGGGAACAGGACATGCTGCGGTGCTGGACTCACGTGGGGAGGCCCCGGGCCACGTCCCAAGGGCGTTTTTTTTCCTATTCTTTTTTTCCCCTTGTTGTTGGAGGGCATGCACACTCACCAGAGAAAGGCAGACAGAGAGAAAGCAAGAGAGAGGAAGAAAGCACTCCCAGTGGGGCTGGGTCATGCCACAATCCCTCCTCCTCCATTTCTCCATCCTGCCGGGACTTCTGGTACACACATGTGTGCTTGGCATGTTTTGCAAGCCGCTGGGATAGAGATTCCCACACTGTCGGTTGGCCATATGGGATCTGTTGGTTATCAGGAAAGTCATGACATGGTTTTGCACAGAAAAACAGAAAGCTATGTCATGACTTTCCCGACAACCTAACAGCTCCCCTAACCACTGAGCCACGGGGCCGGCCCTTCCAAAGGTCTCTTGAACGCAGCAGGTACGTGAATGTGCCCGTGATCCAGGCTGGCTGTGTCTGTCTCTCTGTCTCTGTCTCTCTCATAGAAGAAACAAATTGCTTTAAAAACCAGAAGGAAAGAAAAGCTTAAGGATTAGTGGGAAAGGTACTGAGTTGCTCCTTAGTTACTCATTTGTTTTGAAAATTCATCCCGATTGGGACCAGCAGATGGCGTAACGGTTACATTGCTGGACTCCTATATAGCTGACCGCAGTTTGAGTACTGGACCTGGCAGTTTGAAATTCACAATGGGCACATGTGCATGCATGTCCAAAAACCGAGAGGAGAATGGAGGAAAAGGGATTGTAGTATTGCCATCCCCCTTTGGGGGTGATTTCTTGCTTTCTGTCTTTGTTTCTCTGGTAAACACATGAGCCCTACAGCAAAAATCTCTCTTTAAATGAAAAAATTCACCTTCTGGGCACATGTGCGTGTGTGCCCAAGATCCCGAGAGGAGAATGGAGGAGAAGGGATTACAGCATGGCCATCCTCCCTGGGGGAGTGACTTCTCGCTTTCTGTCTCTCTGTCTCTGTCTCTGGCAAGTGCACACGCCCTATAGCAAAAACCTCTCCAAAAAAAAAAAAAAAGTTCACCCAGACTGTCAAATTTTAAGATGTATTTGTTTAAGTGTCAAAAATGAACTATTTTAACCAAGAAATGCAAACTAGATGAAAGATGGACAGGTCATGGCTAAATTATGTAGACTCACGTGCAGAGCTTGCAACTGGAGCTCTGGAACAGTCTGGTCTGACTCAGAAAAGGGCGTCAGGACTGTTAGGGCCGATTCACTGTTATGTGGCTCAGTCCCTGTGCCAGCTCCTCCCTGGGAGGAGACTGGTTTCTCTCTTAATTCCCAACACCGTTAAGTTAGTCCAAAATAACAGGGACCGAGACAGAGCTGTGCAGGACAGTGTGCTCAAAAGCTCTTTGTCGGGAAGAGGATGATGGTTCACTCCTTTGTCTTCAGGATCTGTAAGATGACCACTGACTCCCTACTCTCTAACTAGGGTTTCCTGTACGTTTCATCTCTAATCAGCACAATCATCCTCAAGGGCAAAACGAAGCTCATTTTCTAGATAAAGAAGAACAGAGGCACAGAGAGGTCAGGTCCTGCGTCTAGGTCACGCAGCAGCAAAACCCATGCATCTGCTGCTCATCACATTCTGTCCGTGGGACAAGACTTTGGCTGACCATTTTGTTGCTTTGAGCTAAGACAGAAACAAATGGAAAATTACTGAAATGACTGCTTTACTCTGACTCCTATCGTTTTAGTGAGAATATCCATTAGTTCTCATTAAAACAGAGGGCCAGCAGATGATAAGGAGGTTAAGGTACTGGATCTCACAATGGCCAGTTCTGTGGGTCACATTCAGGGCCTAATGGGTGCGTGTGTGAGCCCTAAATCCCAAGAGGAGAAAGGAAGAGAATGGGTTGTAGCATGGCCCTCCCTCCTGGGGAGTGACTTCTCACTCTCTCTATTTATTGCTCTCTGGTGAATGCACATGCCTTACAGCAAAAACAAACAAAATAAAAAAATATTCCAAATTAAAACTTATCTCTGGGCTGCCAGTGGCTTTGCGGTTATGGGAGCTAGATCCCACAGGGCTGACCAGAGTTCCAGTCCTCGCCCCAGAAGCTTGAAGGACATTCTGGCTGCATGAGTGGGTGTGCCTCAAATCCCAGCAGGAACTAGAGTGTGACCACACCCCTCTGGGAAGTACTGTCTCCCTCCCTCTCTCTCTCTTTCTCTGGCAAGCACGCGCACCCTTGGGCTTATTCAAAACAAAACAAAACAAAACAAAACAAAACCCTTAAGCTGATGCTCCTACCGGGCAGTGAAGGAAGAGAAGTTTTCCCAGCACACTGTAGTGGCCACCCTGACAATGGGAATGCTTTCTGGATTTCCAAAACCTTATGTTAGCAGTTCAGCCCTTGGGGCCAGCTGGTGGTGTGGTGGTTAAGGCAGCTGGATCCCACATGGTCAACTGTGCAGTTTGAGTCCCAGGCCTGGTGGCTTGAAAAAACACACCAGGCAGATGTGCGTGCATGCCCAAAATCCTAAGAGGAGAATAGACTGTAGTGTGGCCATCCTCCTGAAAGGTGATCTCTCACCTTTCCCTCTCTTCTGTCTCCCTCCAGTGAGAGCATGTGCCCTGTGGCACAGGAAGAAAATCAGACCCTCGGAATCCCAGACGGACCTCCGCACTTACGTACTCTCATGTCCTCGCTCGTTAATTTCCTCCTGGAGAGTCAGAACACTGGTGAGGTTGATGATCCTTCTCCGAGGGGTACAAGCTGCTGTCAGCTCCTTTTGGGAATCATCTTCCACCATTTCTACATCAGATTCTTCCCGATGTCTTTTTCTGCTAGGACAAAAAGGAGCTGGCAGGTCATTACAATTCCTTTGATGTTGTAACTCAGTCAAATTTTGTCTGTTGCATTTTGGAGAAAGGAGCAGGTTCTCTGGGCTGGTTCTACAGAGCTGCAGAGGGAACCCCGTGCTGGGGGCAGGTTGGCAAGGTCCGCACACTGTTTATCTGACAACCCTCAGATCCCAGAAGGGGGTCGGGTAGCTGCACACAGTAGGAATCTAGAGTCTGTGCCAGACCTGTGGAGCAGCAAGGCCATGGGCAGGTGCATTGCCCGTGCTAAGCCTCACCCACTTATTCTTCTATGTGTCCCACCTGTCAGACCTGGTCATACACCAGCTACACAGAGATGGATAGACAGACATGCTTCCGTGATGCCTACCTCTAAGGGGAGAGTCAAACAGCAACAGAGAAAAAAATCATTTTAAGTAGCAACAGATACTATGAAGAAAATAAAACAAGGTAACATTATAGAATGAAGAGGAGGTGAGAGGGGAGGAATCTTTAGACTAAATGGACAAAGAAGGCCTCAGACAGGAGGTGACATCTGAGTTGAGGCCCGAGTGAGCCTTCCTAGGCTGAGGAACGGCTAGGGCAGAGGGCAAGGAGCTCAGGAAGTTCAGATCAGCCACAGAGCTGTGTGGTCAAAGCATCGTGGGAAGGAAAAAGTGGAGGGCTGCAGGTTTATCCGCAGTGCATTTCCCACAGGGAAGCCACTTAAGTTTTTAGCAGAGGAGTAGTACAATCTGATTTCTAATTTTTAAAAATTCCTTTGACTGCTATATGGTAAATATCACCTAGCTGCCCAAATAAAAAACAAATGTAATACTTTCCTGCAAGGTGGTAAGAGCATTAAGTTAAATAATGTGGGTAAAGTGTCTGGCACACAGCAGACGCCCAACAGTAGCTTCCTTTATTATTCTCTGAAAAAAAGTCCTTAGAATCATCTTCCGGGGCCAGCAGCTGGTATAGTGGAGGCGCTGGACTCTCACATGGCTGACCATGGTTTGAGTCCTGGACCTGGTAGTTTAAAACTCATACCAGGCACATGTGCGTGTGTGCCCCAAATCCCGAGAGGACGGTAAATGAGAAGGGATTATGGCATGGCCATCCATCCTGGGGGGTGATGTCTCACTCTTGCTCTCTGTCTTTCCAGTGAGTGGACACGCCCTACAGCAAAAATCATTCAAAAAAAAAAAAAAAAAAAAAACAAACCACCAGGGCAAATGGCTAATCAGTTCCCAGGTTTGGGGTGAGTGAACTTGGAAAAATGACCCTGTGCTCCTGGTCCAGTACCTGCACACATTATTATATAAGCTATGTGGTGTGAGGGCTGGCAGGTGGCATGGTAGTTAAGGGCACTAGACTCCTGCATGGCCAACTATGGTTCAAGTCCCGGATCTGGTGGTTTGCTTTCTCACTTGCCCTATCTCTTGCTCTGTCCTTTTCTGGTCAAATTAAAAATAAATAAAATTAAATTAAAATAATTCTTAAAAAAAAAAAAAGAAGAAGAAGAACATGGGTGGTGGTTAAGGTAGCTAGATTCCCATGTGGCCGACTGTGGCTCAATTCCTGGACTCAGTAGCTTGAAACTCATGCTAGGTGCATATGTGCATGTCCCAAATCCTGAGAAGAGAATGGATAAGGGATTGTGGAGTGGCCACCTCCCCTGGGGGGGTGATTTCTCACTTTCCCTCTCTCTCTCTTCTCTGGCATGTGCACATACTATATGGCAAAACCAAAAAGAAAAAAAAAAAAAAGAACAGAAAAGAAAGGAAGAACACCCAAGAATTGTTTGTATAAAGGTCAGTGAAAGAGTGCCTTAGCCTTACACTGCACAGGATACACTGAATACTCAACATTAAATGATAACCTTTAGTATTGTGGTTCCTGTCCCTCTTCTCTAGCTCTCCTTGTCTGGGAGCTCACATACTTCAGGGCGGTTTGTAAACCGGATTTAGGAAGTGTGCTTCTCCTGAAAAGAGAGAAAGCACCTTTGGGTGGGACAAATGAGACTCCCTTGAATTCTGTAGGCTTCTCTCTCTGAGGTGGAGGCTTTATCAAAACTCTACTCAAAGGATAACCAGCTTTTTTCTGATGTGTTTGAATTAATCCTGGGAAAGGTAGTCATTTAAGATACTGCAGTGTTGTTCTCAAGCCATGACCAAAGGTGAACAGTAGACCAGGGTACAGCACTACCCCAGTGGTGGCAGAGGGAGAGCCAGGCAGAGGGGGTACGAGTGATTCATGGCAAGCCAGGTTAGGAGGCGGTCTAATGAGGACAAAGTTGGCAGCTGTCTCTCCCCAAAGGCCATACCTGGGGTTGGCTGGGCTGGAAGCAGGTCCTCTCTCTTCTGCTGTTTCCGGAGTTGCCGTGGCGGTATCCTCCTCCAAATCCTGACTCCTGGCAGCCATCTGGGAGTTCAAGCATCTCCTCATCTTGCTGTCTGGCCATGGTCTCTGACCTACCCTCGGGGACACTGGTCTGGGGCTGACGGGATGGGGGCTTGCTCGGAGGCTGCAGAAACGCATCGAGCTTCTGTTCCCGGGAATCCGTACGGACCATCTGGTGGGCATAGACTTTGTCACCACTTCCAGAAGCAGATGAGGGCGTCGGACCTGCTGAGGATTTAATCACCTCCCCAGAGGGACCAGCAAGTCCCGGAAGCAAAGTCTGTTACAAAAAAGAAGAAACAAATAAGACTAAAATGAAGTACAAATGTGCAGGCTCCTACATGAAGATTAATGTCATAGCCAGGAATAATGATCATTACAGATTTATTATTAGAAAAGCAATCCTGACCAGAGTTGGGAGTATAAAATAAAGAATTTGCAAATAAAATTCAGGAACTAGGCAAAATCCTTACAATCTTAAAATCAGCTTACAATGAAAATACTATTTAAAATTCTCATATATTTTGCTGCCATAAGAAAACTTTTTTTTATTGTCATAAAACATATAAAATGTTAAGAGTTACCCTTTTGACCATTTTTAGGTGTGAGCTCGGTAAGTTCAGTGGTATTTAGCACATGTTCACACTGTCGTGCAGCTATCCCCACCACCACCTCCAGACTGAGACTCTACACATCAAACAGTAACTTCCCGTTCTTGGATCAGGGGAAGCAAGAGACAGTGAGAGAGAAAGTGAGACATCACTCCCTGGGGGAATGGCCTTGCTGCAATCCCTTCCCCTCCATTTGCCTTCCAGGATCTTAGGCATTCATGCACATGCACCCGGTGTGATCTTCAAGCCACTGGATCCGGGCCTCAAACTGCGGTCGGCCATGTGAGAATCCAGTGATACAACTGCTACACCACCCGCTGGCCCCCACACACTTCCTAACTCTGCTCACTGAAGAGGCCCAGAAGCGGTGACCCTCCAATAGCCA